CTGTGTGGTTAGCTGGTTTTGCCTTTTCTGGTAGCAGGAAGGTAGATAAAGTACTTGTCTCTGGTGATTCTTGGCTCATCGCTGCCGCTGTGCCGCGAACGCCTCGGTTAGGGCTGTATGTGAAGCCATCCCGTGAACTGAAAAAGTGGAAGACAACTGTTACTCTTCTGAAGCTTCCTTTCCTCGGGGTGATTGTCAGCCAGGGCAGCGTCTCGCTCTGGTTATCGATGGCACAGTCGAGGGAGCAGCGTGGGAGCAGGAGCGCAAGGAGGGAGAGGGGCTGCTTTGAGCTCGGGCGCTGAAGGAGCTATTTGTCGGACCGTTGTGAGAGCCATCGCAGGGCCCGACCACGGCCACGTACTGGCCAGCCTCGGGCCGAGGGTGAAAGGGCTTCATTCACATTCCCCTGCTTGCTCACGACTTGACTGTTGAGCATAGCTTGCTTTCTGTCGGGGCTCCCGCCCGGAGAGCCCCGTTTCACACACACTCCCTCTCAGGCCTGTGCGAATCCTTCGGAGTTGCAGTGTAACATAGTGCAGGGCATTAAGTTTATGTAAGATTTCTCTCTTCACACATAATGTCTGTGTACGGTGAGGTGGAGAGTCAGAACTTCACAGCCACTGGAAAAACGTGGAAACAAAAATACCTAAGAGCCAAAGTACGAGAAACAATACAAAATGGTTTTGCTGGTTAATGTTTGCGTGAAGAGTGTGGAAGGATGCAGTAAATCAGCAAAAGTGAGTGAGAGCGGACTGAGGGTCCAGGAAGCAGGTAGATTTGATAAGGGCAGAGAGAAAAGCGTGTACATGGAAAGCTTTACAGAGAATACTGTAAAAACAGAGGTATGACACAGTTCTGTAATGGAGGAGGATGATTTTGTATGAGGTTTATAAATGTAAATGATGTAAATGTAATGATGTAAAATATATTTATGCTGACATCAAATAATACTTTCTAGTTTAACACATGCTGTGTAACTGTTAAAGTGTTTCTTACTGCATTGTGGGTAAGAATTTTTTTTTCAGTTGTTCTGCAAAAGAAATATAAAAATCGCTCTCAGAATGCAGTCTGACCTTCTTCTACAATTCTATTTACGATCAGACTGCACAAAGTCTAAGATGCAAGTATTTAGTACTTCTGATTTTTGAAAATTTGACTTCTGGGAAAGTTCTGGCAACCATTACCCTTGTACAACAGCGTACAGTGCTTGTCACTGATTAATTAAAAGAGGAGGAAAAAAGATCCTTGTTGCAGTGAAAGAGGCCTTTTGATAGCAAGCGCCGTTCTCTCATCCAAGACCAGCGTTGCTTTCTCATTTGGACAAGGAACATCAACAAGGGGCTGAAGTGGTCAAGGGTGAAGAAGACTGACTTACTGCTCTTCGGGAAACACAGCGTGAAAGCTGTGGCAGGCACAGCAGAGCCAGCACAGCCCCAGAGGCGCAGAGCCCAAAAGTGACTGCGGTTGTGGTATCGGAACCAATACCAGCGTTATTTTTCCATGTCAAGGTCAGCTCGGAGCGTGGCGCCAGATTTCCGTTTCTTTCTTTGTTTTTCCTTGCTTGGAAACAGAGGTCAAGAGAGGCCTTTCTGTGCGGACCACAAAATCAAACGCTTTCTCCTTCTATGTAGCAGTAGCTGATCGGTCTCATCGGAACCAGCACTGGCGTCGTCATCCTTTGCCTGGCACGTGGAGTGCTAGCTGTGAGGAACTGGTTTCTGTCATCAAGTCTTGGTTCCCCACCTGCTGCCTGTCATCACATCTATCCATAGGCAGCAACAGAAGAACAGGTACTGCGTGTGCTAGATTTTCAAGTTACTTCAGCGCCTGTTGGTGAAGAGGGGCCTTAGTGGCATTTCCAGATGAATACGCTGCTGTCTGTGAAATCACCTCATCACAACTGGAAAACTAGCAAAGTGTCTCTGCTTGTTTGTCTGTTCTTAAATACCTTGAAATACAGTCCAGAAGTTGTCTTCAGTGGTAGCTTGCACGTCGTGCCCCTGTTTCTGTTGACAAGGCTGTCACTTTTTCCTCTGCCCTGGGTGATTGCAGGGCATTCAAGAAGGCTCTGTCCCGCCTCAAGTTTCTTTGGACAGAAACACAGGGCAAAAATGTCACCTTGGGTTTGTTGTTTTTTTTTTAAAGTTTCCTTCCAAGGTCTCTCCATATATACATGTATGAAGGAAATCTTGTGGCGACCTGTGGTTTAAGGCAACTTTGGCTGTCTTGTGTGTTGAAGTGGGCTAGAAAAGGAAAATAGGTGGTGCACCAGAATGCCATGTAAGAAGTCATTTGAAAGAGACGAGAGAAGAATCCTAGGCTTCTCATGTTCGGACTAATCCCTAAAAGTTTTTTACTGTTTCTGTCATACTGGGTATATTATCTGATAACTGAGAATGAAATTGTCAAATGAGTTTTCATTGAATTGTCTTTTGGCCAATGCTTTTCTATTTCTAGACGCCTTCTTGGGGGAATGTTTTGTTCCATACTTCACTCTTGTGTGTTGCTTATTATTATATAGAATAGGCTGATGTATTAATTCCACGTAATTTTTAGCATATCTCCTTTCTTACTGTGCATCTTCACAGACTTTTATTTCATTGTATTTATTCTGCCTTATCCTTCTATATTTTCTCTTCTGTGTTATTTTGCGAAGGTTTCCTTTCTGTTCCCTGTACTCACCCCATCTGTTCTCTCTCTCTCTCTCACATGTGTCGACATCAAGACATGTCAGTGGTATGCATGCCTAAACCACACGTCTAGATTTTAGATTTTGACTACCCAAAAATGGGAAGTATTTTTCTGCTTGCTTCCAAAATCTGTTTAGTTTCCTAGTTACCTCGTGTGTTAGGAGGCGATAGCAATGTTGATATTTACTGGATTAAACGTAACTTTGGTTATTAGGAAAGTAATTGACTATAAGAGAGTAATGCAATTTGGTATTGGAATAGATTATAAAATAAAATAGATTTTCTGGTTTAATGAATGTCCACACCTGTTTGTGATAGTGGAAAACTCTGAAGGAGTCGCATTTGCAGCGCCCACGGGCACACTGCTGTGGTGCCGTCCATCCCCGTGGCTGATGCCCGGGTGTCCTTCCGAGGGCCTCTGCATGCATCAATTCCTTTTTTCTTTCAGGCTATGGAGGGCAAATTTCAGTCATCTCTACAAGCCGAGGGGCAAGCTAGTTAGTTGCCTGGACTGCAAGGCTGGTTCTGCCGGGGACTTAACGCAGAGAAATGTAGTCTGAGACCCAGGTTTTGCTGTGGAATGGCCCGGTATTGGGCAGTTTTAGCCTGAAATAGGTGGCAAATTTCTAAGGTAACTCCTTTTTTTCAGTTTGTTTCTGAAAGCAAAAATGCAGTTTTTAATTTTGTCTCAGGCAGTGATTTTTCTTTGCGCGCTATTTTTAATGGGCAAGAAGACTTTATGTAAACCAATATAATTGATTAACTGAATTTGTAGAAATCCAGATGCAGTTCCATGAAAGTGATGCTACCAGCCCTTTAGATAGGGAGGCAGGGAAGGAGTGAGATGTGATTTGGACCATCTCAAGCTGTCTAAATGGTGTGCTGTTTTGATGAGAGTGTAAGTTCTGAGAAGGCAGTAAGAAACAGGAAGTATTTGTGGGAGCACTGCAGCTCTTGTAGCATTCATGTTACAAGCTTTGAGTTACTCACTGAATAAAGCTGGATGACATGCTGTCTTCAAGCATAATTTAGCTGCTCCATCCAGTGGATACTAATTTGAAGAGGCTGGATCATATGGTGACTTAATTGCTTTCAACATGATTTATATTTCTTAATTTTTGAGTTGTCACCATTTTTCTAAGCTGGTGATATGATAGTAACTTGTTTTTCAACTTGAAGATTTCTTATTTCTTTGAAAATTAGTAAGAGTGCAGGTATAACATGATCAGTTTTGTGGATTTAAGTTCTCTGCATATTTGTTAGACCATAGCAGAGTGAGGCTGTACGAGGTGCTCGCATTGAGGGAGAGACATGAGATGCCCTTGGAAAATTTCAGAAGGGAAAACGGAGGGTATTGCTTTTCTACTAAGAGACCGCTTCAAGTGGTGTCAGATGGAACAGGTTCACAAAGTGGTTCTTCCGTAAGGAAGGTGGAGGGAGAGGAGTCTCCAGATGAGAGCAGTAACTCTGAGTTCTGTAATGTTTGTTGCATGGAGAGCTGAAGTATAAACATGCAATAATGCAGGCTTCTGAATCAGCATGACCGAGACTGTCTCAAGTTGAGCTGCACAGTATTTCTTGAAAGGTTTGTAGTCTGAATTAAGAGCTTTTATCGCAGCATTTTTTGTGAAGCTGATGCCTGAAGACCCTGTTCTGTCTTACGACACCTGTCTGAACAGTTTAATAGCAGTTAAAATCCCTTTAAAAAGTAGCTATATTTTTAAATAGAAATAAATGCTGCATATTTCTGTGTCTAGCTTTTAATATTTTGCTGTTAATGTAGTGCTGTGTGTTCTTTTTTGCATGTGTGTGTGCTACTAGAAATCTCATTATATGTAATGTGATCAAGGCAACTCTGGCCATTTTCTTGAAAGAACTTACATAGGCTATGTTTCTGTACTATTTCTCTGTAAAAACGGTTTTTGAGACCCTGAATTATCACTTTCTGATCATCCTTTGGTTTGACAATCTTATCTTTAAAACAACAACTTTAGGACAAGACATTAAAACATGTTCTCATGAATGGTATAAGTAATACTATTGCTGCGTGAAATTCATATTCTCCCCTACCCTGTATGTTCTCCCGTGGACATTCTCATTGTTGGGTTGCACTGAGCTGGTGAATGTATGAGGTTTTGGGGGTGGTGGTTAGTTTCGGCTTACTGTGTCATTACCTCTGACAGAAAGAACTGGTAAGAGTGATCTTGTGGTTAAGGTGTTAAATTAGACGCGGGGTGAATGAGATTCGTGTTCTTGCTCTTTTGGTCTTTCCATTTATTGTCTCAGCTAATATGTTTGTGTCATCTCCGCATGCACAAAGCGAAGATGGTATGTTTTATCCCCGCCCAGGACAGCGCTCATGAAAGCTGTGCATAAACCACGATTTCTCTGTTGGGGAAGTTCTTCTAAGTGCCAGGTTCTGTAGTCTGTTTTTACAACTTACCAGGGCTTTTCTGTCTTGGGTCAATTTTTTGTCTTGTGTCTAAAATAACATAGAACTTGGCATGTACTTTTATATATTTCCATTTCCAGAAAAATGGTTTTAATTTTCACTCATAACTATGTAGTGTCATTAAATTAACTTTTACATACTGAAGAAAGGTGAAATATGCTGTCTTAAAATAGCGGCAAATTTGAGATGTCTCAGAATATCTTGGCAATTGCATAAATACTTATTGCAGAAATTGTTACTCTGTTTCCTTACCGCAGTACATATTCATAAGAAGCATCTTTGGGATAAACTCAGAAATACAAAAAATTAACTGTCTTGGACATCTGATACGACTTTTTAAGTAGTGATACATCCAGACATCTGTTGAGTTACAAGCATAGCCTTAGCTGTCTAAGCAAAGCACAGAGCAGGCACCTTGTTTTGCGCATTTATTATTTCTCATTGTCCTCTGTTTCACAAGAAATTTGGTCAAATTTTCAGTGATAGACAGCCAATATAACAGTTGAAGAACTAATTATTGTTGATTTTCATTTCCAGAAAACAGTGAACTCTTGAGTTTAATTGCTAGGTTGTGATTAATCTCTCTCTTCCTTTTGAAAATGAAGTTACGGAGTTAATGGCTATGAGGACTCCAGTCATCTGTTTCTGCACTTAGCTTTGTACTGCAAAGACAGCTGAAATACCAGTTTCCTCAGCTAAATGCTTTTAATCCTGACATAGTCTCTTGCAGGTGGTGTGGTGGTTACTCTAATGACCTCTGGAAATGGTCAGTAAGGCTGTCAGTATTGGCGGTTTGTCCACTGAAATCCAAGTGAACTGCAAGGAAATGAAGTTCTTTCTGCTAGGGTTTTTTCTTGGAGATTAACTACTGATGGCTATGCAGGGATTCTGCAGGTACCCCAGCACAGTTTGGATTTAGGCTGATGACGCAAAGATAAAAGGTTTCCCCCTTCTGTGGTTATGCTGAGCCTCTTGCGCTGGCTTTTGATGTGGAGGCTTAATGGTTTGTTTAAGAGGAACTGTCTCGTATTTGCAGTGGTAGGGGTAGTTTGTATATCAGATTGTGTAGCTATGGTTGTTAGATGCGCTGCCCCTCTGTCTCAGATAGATAGACTTGTCTTTAAATGGACAAGCATACTGACAGTTTTCAGTGTTTCTCAACCTTTTTCAATAGTAATTTCCATATGGCAGAATATGTTCAGAAATTTCTTTTTCATACGTGCTTTGAGTGAAATTTTTTTTTTTGTAGCCCTAAGATGTAATGTTTTCTCTTTTGATTGTTCACTTTGCTTACACATTTTTCCTCATTATATTAGTTTAAAATGGAGTTATCTGATTATGATAGTCTATAATGAGATTTAGTGCAGTCTGTAGTCCCACACAAGAAGTCTTGTGCAAAACAAGAAGAGGATGAGTATTTGCTGTGAGCAATGTCCATATCCTTTTAGCTGCAGGAATTCTGAAACTTGCTGTGCATACCTGTTACCAAAGGTGGTACTTTTATGGTCTCCTAAGTGTTAAATAAAAAATTTCCTGCTCCTGGCTATGTGCATGTTCCCAGGAACCAGTAATGGTTTCCAATTCCATGTGGACTGGAAACAGAAGAGAAAGAATAGCATAGACCTGTCACCGTTTTCACTTTTGATCTGGAGTGTTCATTTATTTGAACTAAGATACTTTCTTGTAGTTTTACGCATTTTTAGTGTGCTCATTGCCTTGATGTCATGATGCTAGATTGCTAGCTGACGTTTGAAAAGGAATGTGCGCCTCTAGACGTTTCTAATATGTATAACATTATCTCTTAGAGTTGTGGCATGTAGATAATGTGTTATTTAAATAACAATTTCAGTTTCAGCTACTCAGAATCAGTTCTGATTGATAACATACACCTTCCTGTGATTATGGTCTTCATTTTGAATTCTGCTGTTTAAATTGTCTTAAAATATATTTTTCTTCATTTCTAATAGCAAACCAACTGTGATCTATTTTCTGTCTACAGTTTTTAGGTTATATTTTCAGTTGGACTTGTCTGCTTTATTTCGTTCATGTTTTGTGGGTTTTTTTTCAAAAGATGGACTTCACTTTGAGCCTGCAAATAGTCCTTTAAAGTAGATTTGAATGTTTTCTCAAATCATGGAAGAAAGTTGACTTGGCAGATCTTTTTTCAGACTTTTGCTTTTCTTGGTGCCGTGTAAATCATAAGGAATGAGTTCTGGTTTACTAGTAGTGTTCCTTTGTTGCCGTTGGTAATTGCTTTGCAACTCACTTCACTAATGTTTTTTTAAAATTATTTTTCTGTAGCAAAATGATGGCTATCGAACTTTATCCTTGTCCGGGCATGTTGGTTTTGCTACATTACCTGATCAACTGGTTAAAAAATCCATCAAGCAGGGCTTCTGCTTCAGCATTCTTTGCATTGGTAAGTAGTATCTGAGTGATTTAAGGCTGTAGTAGTAGTATACCCATCTGTAGGAAGTGACTGAAATTTAAATCCAGTTGCAATGTTAAACTCTTTCCTTAATGTTAAGCGTGAAATATAATTCCATCCCTTCCCCCAGCTTTGCCTATTCGTATTCATGCTTTGTTTTTATATTTAGCGTTTTCATAAACAATATGAAGACCAAGATGTTGAAAATGGATGCCATGCATTTACTGATTTGTGAGCAGCTTCTAGGATTCTTTTGAGTATACTGGGCTAGACTCTATTCTTTCTGTAACAAAGAGCTTCAGTTCAAAAAAAATCCTAAAATTCCAAGGTGGTGTTAGTGAAGTGTTTCTATACTTCTCAGATGTTTGCTCTAGTATTTTACCCTTACTCATAAAAACCCTGTGTTGAACCCTGTGGTTTCACAGCTAGTTACTTAGCTTTTTAAAATCTGTAGGAAATTATTTCACACTTTTAAAGAAACCAAAGTGTGAAGAGACTTCTGTTTATTACTCATTAGCAGGTGATGCTCTCTTGTCTGTAGGATGAAAAAAAACCCTAAAAGATACTTAGTGCTCATTATGAAAAAGGAATGCAGGCAACCAGTTTGCTGGGAGAAATCAGTTGACAATTTTTTGTGTAAATTTGTCCAGTTGCTGTGATAACACTTTCTATGCTTAGTAGATATTTATGTGATGTGCAAAATATTTTCCCCAACCCTTCTGTTTAACTTTAGGGGAAACTGGAAGTGGGAAATCAACCTTGCTAAACAGTTTGTTTAACACCAATTTTGACGACCCTGTGTCAACGCATTTTCTGCCAAGTGTACGACTTAGAGCCCAGACTCACGAACTCCAGGAAAGTAATGTTCTTTTGAAGCTGACCGTTGTAAATACAGTGGGATTTGGTGACCAGATAAACAAAGAAGATAGGTAAGTGCTCTCTTGTTGCTACAGTGTGCAAAAATTTTGGTCTTCAATTGCAAGTTGATTTTTCTTTGGGCTTTGTAGTAAATATTTGTCTTACATATGTTCCAAATATTTGGTTAACTGTTTTCTCTGTGTACCAAAGCAAACATGTTTTTCTGTTCATCTAGGAAATGACTGGAGAAATCAGATGAACTCTGCTCCTTTCTTTATGATATGATCTTTTATAAATGTATGTAAATAAAATGTGCAATAGTGACTAGAGTTTCTTTTGGGATGGAGGAAAACAGGGAGAAGGTCAACAGGAGACTTTTTGAACAACCAAACAGGTTATGAGGTACTGTATATTATATAGATTAGATCTATAGGGTTTTTAACAATTTGATTAGAACATACTGAAGACTTTCAGCTGGAAGCAATATCACATGGATTACTGAAGACCTTAATTTTTTATGTTGGACAGCTTAATCATAGAATCGTAGAATCATTAAGGTTGGAAGAGACTTTCAAGATCACCAAGTCCAACCATCACCCCAACACCACCATGCCTACTAAACAGTGTCCTGAAGTGTCACATCTACATGTTTTTTATACACCTCCAGGGATGGTGACTCCACCACTCCACCACCTGGGCAGCCTGTTCCAATGCCTGACCACTCTTTCAGTAAAGAATTTTTTCCTAATATTCAATCTAAACCTCCCCTGACACAGCTTGAGGCCAGAAGATGTAGAGGTAGCACACTAGTGTCTTTCAGAACTTTTTTGAGTCTCTGCTTTTGTGAATTGAAGATTTTGAAATACTGAACTGTGACTGAGCAGATTTTGTTTCTTTCACCTTAACTGTAAAAAATTTTGGCAATCCTTTGTGGTATATGAGTGCCTAAATGGTGGTAATTATAAACAAAGATTAGAGAGTCCCATTAAGATTCTCCTGAGAGCTATGGTTTATGATATGACTGGAAAATAGCTACTGCTGGTGACTTGGACGAATGAGATGCAAGTAGATATTAGTATAAATATTAGAGGTTTTGATGTGTGGTATAGGGGCTGCCTTTTAGTCCTTTTAATTTTGTGTGTAACAACTGCTTCTGAATTTTGGTAGCATTTGATTTGGTCTGTAAACTTTGTGTAGCAGTAGAAATGTAAGGGCACACTGCTTGTACATCTAGCAACACATTTTTTTGGAAAACAGATTATAATTTGGTTTTCAGTAGCATAAAGTATATTTAAACTGTACTTACTGCAAATCAGGTTTTCATTCTTCTCTTACATTCCTCCTTTTCAGTTTTTGTCTATTGTTGTAAGAGCTCTCTCATGCACAGTACTTCATGTTCAGAAGATAAAGGAGGTCCTGTTTCTTGGTACTGGTAATTGCATGTTCTTTCTTTCCTTGTATTGTATCTAAGAGTTTTTTTTGTATCCAAGAGTCCTGCAATTGTGCAGCTTGATTGCAAAAATTTATAAAACATGACTTGGGAAGATCGGTTATAATTATAACTAACTTTTTGTAGCTTTTTTTGCTAACAGCAGCTAGGAAATGTTTTATATTTTGTATTAGCTGCACAATTCTTTTTTGAGTTGCCTTTCAGAACTGAAGATTACTCTTTACATTTAATTTTCTACTGTACTGGGTGGATACTTGAGCAGTGTTTGTACATGTAAAGCAAAAATCCAGAAAACAATACAAGAGGAACTCCTTTCTTAGTCTGGCTATGTTTAGGAGTAGCTAATCTCTGGTTGTTAAATTTTATTTCTTACAGCCATCAGCCAATAGTGGATTATGTAGATGCACAATTTGAAGCTTATCTCCAGGAAGAACTGAAAATTAAACGTTCTTTATTTAGTTACCATGATACTGGCATCCATGTCTGCCTCTATTTCATTTCACCTACAGGCCATTCACTAAAAGCTCTAGATTTGTTAACCCTGAAAAGCCTAGACAGCAAGGTAAGACTTTGAAGCCCAGTTCTAAGAAATTTGTCTTTCTTTCTGAAGCATCTTGCAGCTCTTAGATCCGCTACCACTTTTCAGTTCTATGTCCGTGTGTTTGGTTTTGTGATGTCTTTTGGTACTGGTATACCTTAAGTTCAGAATAAATTGGCTTTGCAAGTAGGTTGCGGTTCGTCACCTGTTTATTTGCAAATCAAAAGCAGAGACAGACACATCCAGCAAGAACATTGAAAGAAGCAGCACAAAAAAGTTCTTTTTAAAAAAAAAAAAGGAAAAAAAATTAGAACCACACCAACTTCTAGCAAACTGGTAATATCTTACTGTGATCAGATAGGGTACCCTTCATGAGTTCTATGATGTTTCTAATTAAGCTTGTTTCTAGTTCACTATTGAGTTTTGGGACTGCTGGAAAGTTGGCATATAAAAAGCTTTGCAGCACTGTGAAGATCTTTGTTATAGATAACTGAAGAGGCAAGTGCCCTGAACAAAACACCCTGACAGCATGGCTTTTTCTAAGATAGGCTGCATGAGTGTTTTAAACTTCACATCATGATTTGTTTTGAAAGCTTTAAAGTAGCAGTTTCTAGTGTGATAACTTGCACTTCCTAAATTCTTAACTTTGTTCCTGTAATGGGGCTGTGTGAAGTGGATGAAGCTAAATGTTTAACCCATTTTAAGAAACCTTACATCATTTGGGTTTAACTTGTTGAAATTCTGAGAAATTTGAAAACTTAAATGTGTTTGCGGTTCCTGTAGCCCTTTCCTTTGTGCTTTACTAGAGCCTCTCCTGCTAAATTTTCTTTCTGCATCTTCTTGTTTGTGAGATGTTTCTTCAAGATAACAGGGATCAAATTAACTGTCTATTCCACATTTGTGATTGATGAGCACATTTGGTATTTTTGTAATTTTGTTTGTGATGTATTTTGCATTTTGAACTTTCTCAATAGCACAGAGCAAGTGGGGGGGAGGTATGGTGAGACAAAGGCAGGGGAGAGCAGGGTCACTTCTTTCTGCTATGGTGTGTGTTTGTGCCAGATTAAAATGTTTGTGAAACTACTCTGTAATATGCACTGATAGCTAAAGAGCCTTGATACTAGAAAATGGGACAGTTTCATGAAGTATATTGTTCTACTCTGAGTTTTGAAGTTGGAGTTTGTGTTAAACCACAAAACCACTTGATTTCTAGGTTGTGCCCTGTCTTCACTGAACCCCCTGTAAAAGTGTTTCTTCCAAAAGCAAAGCAACTAGATCCATGAGTCTCAGCATCCTAAGAAAGTATTTTTCCATCAGGATAAAACAAAAGTAGTTCTGTTTTGGAGGATTTTAGGTTCTAACCACCTACTCTAAATATTTTTGGTTCTGCTTTGGCTCAGAGAAAACATGAGTGGCATGTAACTTTGTTGTTTTACCCCTTTGCAATGGATTCTGCTTTGTGACCTTACTCCAGAAATACACATATACACACAAAAAAAGTATATACTTTAACTGTAGTTTGGTTTCCATCTCATTGTGGAACATGTTTGTGATGCTTTTAGTACTGCATTCTCCTAGTGGCAGTTCAGAACTTGGGATTTCCTGGGATGTGGAAGTCCCTGGGTCTGTTTGCTGAGTACAGGATTCCGTAAAGAAGAGGTGGCACAGCAACATACCTCCACTGTAGATTTAGAGTGTCTAAATCTATGTCAAAAGCCATGTTCAGTTTCTTCCTAAATCCACCACAGTCTACACTGTTCTGCTTTTCTTTGTCTGCTGGATAAAAACAAGACCAGATCACACAGCTCAGAGTTAAAAGAGGGTTCTTGGAATAGAACAGGGTCATCCTGTACTCTCTAATCCTGGGAGACTTCTTCATCAAGGACCTGGATGAAGAGTTAGAATGTACCCTCAGCAAGTTTGCTGACGACACCAAACTGGGAGGTGTGGTAGGTACACCAGAAGGCTGTGCTGCCATTCAGCGTGACCTGGATAGGCTGGAGAGCTGGGCAGAGAGGAACCTGATGAGGTTCAACAAGGACAAGTGCAGGGTCCTGCACCTGGGGAGGAACAACCTCATGCACCAGTACAGGCTTGGGGTGGACCTGCTGGAGAGCAGCTCTGCGGAGAGGGACCTGGGTGTCCTGGTGGACGACAGGTTAACTATGAGCCAGCAGTGTGCCCTGGCTGCCAAGAAGGCCAATGGGATCCTGGGGTGCATCAAGAAGAGTGTGGCCAGCAGGACAAGGGAGGTTCTCCTTCCCCTCTACACTACCCTGGTGAGGCCTCATCTGGAGTACTGTGTCCAGTTCTGGGCTCCCCAGTTCAAGAAGGATGAAGAGCTACTGGAGAGAGTCCAGCGGAGGGCTACAAGGATGGTGAGGGGACTGGAGCATCTCCACTACGAGGAGAGGTTGAGGGAACTGGGCTTGTTCAGCCTGAAGAAGAGAAGGCTGCGAGGGGATTGGACTAGATGACCCACAGAGGTCCCTTCCAACCCCTACTATTCTGTGATTCTGTGATTCTGTGAGAAAAACCCAGAGGTATCTGTGGGCGACTAGTTTTTCTCTATTGCTTATAAACTGGATGACTAGCTAAGAATTTGGCCTCTAGCTTTTAAACAGTGGGAAGTTCTGTAGTTTTGCTTAGGACTGAATAACTACAGACCAGCCAAGTTTCATTCACAGATTAAGGGAATCTTTTTCTGTGTGCTTTCTTGCTGGGAACTAGTGATTATTCAGCTAATAGATCTGCATTTTTAAGTCATTCTTGCAGAATTATATACAGATTACTGTTAAGTCAGGAAATGACATGAGTGTACCTTGTGAGTTTGAGTTGGTTTTTTTTCCTTCAAAAAGAATCTTCGGAAGTGTTTGTACTGAGTCATGGAGATACACTTAAATCAGCCTGCAAGTTGTCAGCCAATAATGATTTCAAGTATACACATTTTTTTTCGTTCTCTGTAGCATAAAGGGGCAACAGATGTTTTGACATCAATGTAGGGTGTTACATGACAATCTTAATTTAGAGTAATAGCATGTTTTTTAATTGGGGAGGGAAGTGGTATTCTGCATTTCAGACAGAAAGATGGTGAGAGGGCTGAGTTTGGTGCTAGCAAACAGAGAAGTAACATGCATGGATAAAATTTATCCTGGTGACTTTATATGGTTATTCTGCATTGCTAGTGAATGAGGCACTCAGCTGCTTCTTCCCATTGTGCATACTGAATTGTTTTGGGCAGCCAGTTCTCTGCATGAGGGAGCTGATTTAAATTGAAAACTAAAGGTTTTTACTTGGGTACGGAACTGATCAAGCGGAAAAGTAATCTGTCTCTTTGGACAGCTGCAGAGATTTTTGTTCTACCTGGCAATGAGCAGCTGCAGGCAAGGGGAGGGGCAGGACTGTTGGTTTTATTGCAATTGTAGACTTTTTATGTGGGTTTAAAGTGATTCTGTACTAATGGCCTATAGCTCTGCAGCAAAATTCAGTTCTGTAGTTGTTGAGATTTGTAGCTGCGGAAGAGGCTGGAAGGGAGTCAGCTGATTTCTGAGTGAGTAGGAGGGAGCAGTGGGACTTGGGGCACAGCTACATGTGGTCCAAATCAATACAATGTAAGTCTCTTGTTAGTACAAATGCGCGCTTTCAATTAATGTTATTCTTGGGTGAAAGTACTGAGATGAGTAAACCTTAGATGCTGCAAGCAGAAATTAATTTTCTTTTACAGATTAAGCAAATACAACTTTTTTTTTATTGCTTGTGTAAAGCCAGACTAGTATTGCTTTTACATTTAATACAATGATTGTGATTTAACATCAGTGTTGATAGCTGTAATCACAGTTTCTGATGATTTTGCTTTGCTTTTGTTACTGGTCTCCTCAGTCAGTAGTCTTTCTCTGCTATTCATTATCTAAGAAATTATCTCCTAATTAACAAGTGCTTGGAAAAGCTTTTGTGTTGAAAAGACAGAGTAGAAGTTAATTTAATTCTGAGGACTCTGTGTTCCATCCATTTTTAAAGCTATATGACAGTAAACCTAAATTGATGTCCCTCAGCTAATTTGAATGAAGCTGTGAATTACTCCTAGCTGTAATAGATTGTTTATACAATCCTAAATTAACTCAGTTATTAAAAAAAAATTCTAGTATTTTATTTCTTTTTAGATATTTTACCCCATATGTGCTTATGTTGCGTATGCTACACAATTAAGGACTATCATCAGGTAATCTTGGAAGTCATGCTTTGGAGTTGGCATGACATTTTTTCATTTGGACATTTTGCTTAAAACAGAAGACTTATTTCAAAAACATCCATTTTGAATCTGTTCTTGAGATTCCATGCTTAGGCATTTCCATTCCAACAGAATATTTCTAAGAACAGAAAGAATGCATGTGGGGGGGGGGTTCCTTTTTTTTTTCTCCTTCCTTTTTGCATCTGGGATCAAGGAACTCTGTAAAACTCTCATCTTCTGAAATTGGGAAGAATTATTTATATTGTTCTTCCAAAATAGTTGGACATTGGCATTAATTCTTTGTATCTAGTCCTGCAAAATGCATATTTTGGGAGTGGTGATAGTATTTTTAAGAAAAATTTGGCATCTACTATCTTCCTAAATCACTGTCATAACTATTGTAGGATATAGGGATAGTTTACTTTAGTAGACTGAATTTTGAATTCTGAATAATTAGTGTGAAGACTGGTAAGCCAGATTCTTCAGTCTTCGTCATTCCTCTGCTTGCAGCAGATACTTGAGAAACTCTTTGCTGCAGTGATGAGGTGGACATGATGTTGTAGTTGAAATGAACCCAAGGAGGAGGCTCAAGGGTAGGCAGGGTAGGCAGGGTTTGGTAGCCAGCTTGATTTTCTTTGTGTATTTAAGCTGTCAACTTCCATTTAACACCTGAACCATGTCCCCCAGTGCTATGAACTAAAATGATCTATTTTTTTTAGCAAAGAGATAAATACTTAATGTCATTTAGTTAATAAGTAGGCATTGCTTTTTTTTTTAATACTTCGCTGTATGAGACCTCCTTCCTTCTTCTTTTCTCAGAATCAATTAATTTTAAGGGAGTATATTAAATAATCTGTTGTTACTTTGTTAAGTGATGCCAGTGAATGTACTTTTCATGGTTTGTGAAGCTTTGGTTTCGATGGAAAAGTTTGGACTACGGGGGAGGTTTTAAAGAGCTTATCACCAAACAATTTAATTTATAAAAGATATCACCTCAAAATTGAAGTCTTAACACATTTCATATAATTTGTATCATTAATAGGTGAACATTATACCAATTATAGGCAAAGCAGACAGCATGTCTGAAACCAAACTACAGAAGTTCAAGAACAAACTCATGAGTGAATTAATTAGTAATGACATCCAGATATACCAGTTTCCAACTGATGATGAAACCGTTTCTAAAATTAATACCGTCATGACTGTAAGTAAATGACAAAAATGTTGATATTTCAGTACTAAAGCATCACTCTCTAATGCCGATTCATGCCTGTTCTTTCACCATTATCTTGAGGCTTAAAGGTTTGTATGTAACGAGTTTGTTTATTTTTCTCTCTCCTTAAAAGCTCTTATGTTTAGGCGTTTTTTTCCCCACTTGCAAATCTTCCTCTCCCTCTGCTTGATGCCATTTGTTTTAGGAGGCTTTTTGTTTTCTGGCTCAGCAACAGAAAAGAGGTTCTCACTGATAAATACTTTTTCTAATTTCTGGATGATTAATATATAATTACAAACATAGAGGGACAGATTTGCTTTGCTCTTTCGGCAAATACTACCTTGTATCTGTTAGGGAACATATTCAATTGCTCAGTTTCTCCAATTTTCGCTGCTCTTTATGACAGCAAGTCTTCTGTCTGCTTTTTGCCTTTATTTGGTACTTCCACTGGAAATTAGGACAAATTTTCTCAGGAGAGTCAAAAGTCGGATACAGTTCTGGCTTTTTTACTGTTATACTTTCACATCCTCCCAGGAGTATCTGCCAGCTTCAACTAAGCTTGTGAAGCTAGATGTATCTGCTTTCAGCTCTCTGTCTGTATTCGCTGTTCATGTGTATATATTTGTGGATGCACGTGAACATATGTTTGGATGTACTGGGGTTAGAAAATAAGGAGGAGGATCCAGTATGCTGGAGTGTATGGCTCTGCAGTCCCAACCTCTGTCGCGTGTGCCAGGGAGTGAGGATGTGCAGGCTGTTGTTCGGTAACGGGTCCTTCTGCTGTGGGGAAAGGTGGTGGTCTGGGACTTACCCCTTTCATGCTCTGCTAGTGAATTATTTTCCAGTTACTGGTGTTTTCTTTTTGTTTTTTTGGTGGGTCAGCATGCAGACAGACAGTACCCAGCCTGTATTTCTGGCCGAATTTTTTTCCAGTTACTGGTGTTTTCTTTTTGTTTTTTTTGGTGGGTCAGCATGCAGACAGACAGTACCCAGCCTGTATTTCTGGCCACTTGGCTGAGCCCACAGCAGTAACCATACCTCGGGTTCAATCCTGTGATCGTCTCATGACCGTTACCAGGGACATGAACTTTGGCTGCATGCAGATCAGACAGATGTGTTCCAGAGTGGCTTTCTGTTTACTGCCAGTACTCTTCCGAATGCAGCCCAGGATGCAGTTGGCCGCCTTTGCCACCAGGGCAAACCTGCTGAATCAGGCCCAACCTGCTGTCCACCAGGAACCCCATGTCTTTTTCTGCAAAGTGCCTTTACAGAGAGTCGGCCCCCAGCGTGTGCTGGAGCATGGAGTTATTCCTCCAGATGTGCAGGACTTCGCGCTGCTCTCATTTGAACTTCACGAGACTCCTCTTGGCCCATTTCTCCAGCCTGTCGAGGTTCCTCTGAATTGGCAGCAGAGCCGTCTGCTCTATAAACCACTCCTCCCAGTTTTGTTATTGTAGCTTGACTGTTGTATCAATAGTTTGACTAGCTGCTGATCTCTTCAAAGTGCTTTTTGGTTTGAAACTGCCTGTTGGCTTTTCCTGAGATGTTGGGTTTTTTCCCCTAATTTATTTCTGAAGTGTTTGCTTTTCAGTTCTGATATAAGAATGCAGAGATAAGACTGCATTGTTGTGACTCTTACAGGGACACTTGCCATTTGCTGTAGTAGGAAGTACAGAAGAGGTGAAAACTGGAAATAAAATGGTGAGAGCTCGTCAGTACCCTTGGGGCATTGTACAAGGTAAATGAATTCTCAAAGATATTTTTACAAGATTTTTGTTGTTGTTGTTGAAGTATAAAATTCACTGATACCAGAAGGGGCTGGTGTTATCCACTGATGCCATATTGATTGTATTTTGGATCAACATTTTAAGGAGTTTCGCAATTAGTGCTGGAGGTGTGCACTAATTGGTAGTTTCATGAGCACTGAGACATCACAGAATCACAGAATGTTCGGGGTTGGAAGGGACCTCTGTGGGTCATCTAGTCCAAC